TTCAACATCATCATCTCATCGTCATCGTCATGATCATCATCATCATCATCATCATCATCATCATCATCATCATCATCATCATCATCATCATCATCATCATCATCATATCATCATCATCAATCATCATCAGACATCATCATCATCATCATCATCATCATAATCATCATCATCATCATCATCATCTCATCATCATCATCATCATCATCATCATCATCATCATCATCATCATCATCATTCATCATCATCATCATCATCATCATCATCATCATCATCAAGAACATCTCATCATCATCATCATCATCATCATCAGCATCAGCATCATCATCATCATCAGCATCAGCATCAGCATAATCAGCAGCAGCATCAGCATCATCATCAGCATCAGCGTCAGCATCAGTATCAGCGTCAGAGTCGGCTTCCGCGTCGGCGTCAGCATCATCATCATCATCATCATCATCATCATCAGCAGCAGCAGCAGCAGCAGCATCACCATCATCATCATCATCATCATCATCATCATCATCATCAGCAGCATCATCATCAGCATCATTGTCATTATCATCACCACTGTCACCATCATCATCATCAGCAGCAGCAACATCATCATCGTCGTCACAAACACCATGATCAGCATCATCATCAGTATCATCATCGTCAGAAGCACCACCACCATCATCATCACCATCAGCAGCAGCATCAGCATTACCAGCGTCATCAGCATGATCAGCATCATCATGATGATCATTATCATCATCATCATCATCATCAGTATCATCATCAACAACATCATCATCATCATCATCATCATCATCATCAACGTCAGTATCATCATCATCATCATCATCATCATCATCATCATCATCATCATCATCATCATCATCATCTGCAGCATCATCATCATCATCATCATCATCATCATCATCATCATCATCATCATCATCTGCATCATCATTACCATCAGCATCCTTATCATCATCATCATCATCATCATCGTCATCAGCATCACCATCATCATTGCATCATTATGAGTAGAGTCACAGTCATCAGCATCATCGTCAGAATCAGCATCATCATAATCATCATCAGCATCATGATAACCATCATCACCATCACCAGAATCATCCTCGTCGTCATCATCATCATCATCATCATCGTCATCGTTGTCGTCGTCGTCGTCGGCATCATCAGCATCGTCGTCCTCCTCCTCCTCATCATCATCATCATCCTCATCCTCGTCCTCGTCCTCATTATCATCGTCCCCATCCTCATCCTCATCGTCATCATCATCATCATCATCAGCATCATCATCATCCTTCCTTCATCCCTCATCCGTCCCTCTGATCACCTCCTTGTCCTCCGTCCTCCTTCTCCGTCCGCGTCCGCCGAAGCACGAGGCTTCCCGCCCGGGGGACAGGCTGCCACGGACCCCGGAAGGGTGCCGACTTGGACCTCGCGTCTGCGGCCTGTGCCGTTGCCGTGGGCCCCCCGGGGCCCCCGTGGGCTCCTGGAGGACTTCCAGACGTCGCCGTTGCCGTCGTCTTCGGTGTCGTTGTCCTCCCCCGGCCTCCTCCTCCTTCCTCTTCCTCTCCTCCGCCGCCACTTCTTCTTCTTCTTTTTCTTATGACGCTTATCACTGATACTACTATTCTTACGATTACCATTATTTATTAGTGCCGTTATCATTCGCAGCATCATCTGTCTTATTAATGCTATTTGTATTATTCGAAAAGTATTACCGTTATGTTGTTGACTCGTGTTATTCGTTGTCATATTATTGTTGTGGTTAGTATTACTATTATTATTGTTGCTGTTCTGTTTCGTGACATTAGAATTTTCTATCATATTAATAGTAGTAGAAGTAATCGTGTTTTCCGAATAGTACTATTCCTAGTGTTTTCAGCATCAGTATGATTACTCTTCTTAGTCTATTCCTCGTATATTCTAATCCGTATTATTAATATCGTCATTGCTGTTATTGTTCGTATCATTCGTACTCGTGATATGCTTAGTCTTACTATTATTCGTACATAATGTGTCTGCTCTTCTTCATATTCCTCTTACGATTACCTTTATCATTACTGTTAGTATTCGTCTTCTTCTTCCATCTCCTCCTCCTCCTCCGCGTCCTGCGCCTCTGGCTCCCCTGGCCCCGCCCCGCGCCCGCGCTCCGTCTCCAATCAGGGCCTGCCCCCGTGCCTGGGGCCGGCTCCCCGAGAGCCGCCCGCGGCCAAAAGCCGCGGCGGCGGGGAGCCTCCGAAGACGACGACGACGACGACGGCGACGGCGCCGGCGCAGAGGGAGGGCGCATCTTAACGATGTGGGGGTGCTCCAGCTGCGCCAGCATCTGGCGTTCGCGCTCGAAGCTGGCCTGATGCGCACGGCGGGGGCTGGGCACGCTGAAGCCCTGGCAGGCGTCGGACCCCGCTACACTTCCCTCCTCTTCCTCCTCCCAATCATCTGACCATCACCATCATCATCATCATCATCATCATCATCATCAGCAGCAGCAGCAGCAGCATCATCAGCATCATCATGATCATCATCATCAACAACAGCATCACCATCCTCACAGCATCATATTCATCATCAGCATCAGCATCAGCATCAGCATCATCATCATCATCATCATCATCATCATCATCATCATCATCATCATCATCATCATCATCATTATCATCATCATCATCATCATCATCATCATCATCACGCGCATCCGCATCAGCACCATCATCAGCAGCAGCATCAGCATAATCCCCATACAAACCAACGACATCGTCATCATCAATGTCATCAACATCTGGAACGTCATCATACTGATCATCATCCGCAGTATCATGACCACCGTGTCCCTCAATAACATCACCCACAGCAGAATCAGCATCATCATCGTCGCCGTCATCGTCGACGCCGTCTTCGCTATCATCATCCGCATCATCATCACCATCACAATCATCACCATCACCATCACCATCACCATCATCATCACCATCATCATTATCCTTATCACCATCAGCGTCACAGTCACCATCGTCACAATCCTCAAAATCATGATCATCAGCGTCATCAACATCATCATTAACAGCATAGTTCGCAGCACCATCAGCGTCATCAACATCATCATCATCATCATCATCATCATCATCATCATCATCATCATCATCATCATCATCATCATCATCATCATCATCAGCACCAGCGGCAACAGCATCATCATCAGCAGCAGCATCATCATCAGCATCATCAGCAGCAAAATCATCATCAGCATCATCACCATCATCACCATTATCCTCTTGCTATCAGCATGATCACCATCATCACCATCATCACCAATATCCTCATGCTCCTCCAGATGCAGTCAACGCCCCCCCCCCGCCCCACCGCCTGGTGCGCGAGGGGAGACCTTCGAGAAAACGTCGCGTACGGCAGCCGGTGGGGCCCCACGAGCGGGACGAGAAGGAGACGACACGAAGGGGGCCCGAAAAGATGGGAGAACCGAGGGACCGAGGGAGCGAGGGACAGACAGGACAGACGCGACGGAGGGCCGCTGTCCCCGCGGCGCGCGGACCCCCAGGGTAGCCCGCCAAGGGGGGAAGCGGGGGGCGGGCAGGCCGAGGGGCCGCGGGGGGTGACAGTTAGTGGTCCGCCGAGGGGTGCCAAGAGGCCAACGGAGGTGAGGCCCCTCCTCCCTGGCTGCTCGTCGCTTCTGGAGGTTGGTTGGGGGCGAGAGCCGAACCCCTCCTTACGTGAAGTCCGCGGTGCTGGTCCGGTTCTGCTTGTGGCCGAGGTGAGCGTCGGCGTTCCCGGGAGGTGGATGCCGTAGTCTCGAAGCGTTGGTGCTGGGCGCGAGGGCGCTGCCAGGCATGCCGCGCAGCCTCTGGCAGCCCCCCGCGGAGGCCCGCCACTGCGCGAGCGGCCTCGCCCTCGCCTCGGGCACCGTGAGCCGCGCGGCCCGAGGACGAGGGCGGGCGGGGAGGGCGCTGGCGTCGGTTGCTGGCCTCTCTCCGGGCCATTCACCTCGTGGTCCCCACCTTGGTGGCAGCGCTGCGGGTTGCAATCGCGGCGCTGCTGGCGGTCGGGGTCGCGGTGCACGGGATGCTGCTGCTGGTCGCGCGATGGGGCGGGGGGGGAGAGGGGCCACGCAGCGCCACCCTCCGCCCCCCCCAGACTGTGGTGCCGGACGCACCGCGGCAGTACCAGAGACGTACCGAGGGGGGGGGGGGGGGGGGCGTCACATTTTTGGGGTGGGGGAGGGTGGGGGGAGGGGGGGGGGGGGGGGCACAACGCGCGCGTTCTGGCCCCGAGGGCCAAAAAGACGCTCTCGTAGTCTTTCGCCCTTCGCCCCAGGGCGCGTCGGCGCGCTGCTGCGCAGGGCGCCCTGCGAGCAGACGGCCGCGCCTCGGCCCCAGCAGGCCCCTCGAGGAGCGCGGAGCGCCGCTCGGCTGGAGCCTGCCGCTCTGGGCTCCTTTGGCGGCCTGCCAGACCACCCCCACCAGAGGCCTCCTCGTCGTTAGACTCCGCCTTCCCCATCCTTCCCCTCCTCCTCCTCCTCCTCCTTTTCCCTCCTCCTCCTCCTCCTCCTACTCCTCTCCTCCTCCTCCTCCTCCTCCTCCTCCTCCTCCTCCTCCTCCTCCTCCCTCTCCCCTCCTCCTCTCCTTCCTCCTCCTCCGCTCCTCCTCCTCCTCCTCCTCCTCCTCCTCCTCCTCCTCCTCCTCCTCCTCCTCCTCCTCCTCCGCCTCCTCCTCCTCCTCCTCCTCCCAGGATGGGGTCCGAGCAGACGGGGTCGAAAGATCGCCGCCTCGCCAATGCATCGCCAATGCATTGCCGATGCATCGGCGATGCACCGGAGACGCATCGGCGATGCGTCGGCGCCGTCGGCGTGGAGAACATCAGGCTCCGCATCGAGGCGCATCGCCGCCGCATCGCCGATGCATCGGCGATGCCTCGGACCCCATCTAGGAGGCCTAGACCAACCTGCCCGAAAACCTCAATGTCGAGCTGGGGTGATATATGGGTTCCATCTCTGTTTCTTCCATGTTCCCCGACCCCCCCCCACTGGGAAACCCAATCGCCCTCCGACCATACGACCGAACACAATTCTACACCTCCGGACACACATGAACAAAAATCAAACCAAAAACGCATGTTACCAAAAAGCCGCCCTCATTCCGTGAACATGTCGCCTCAGCTTAAACGTCTGGTCATAAGTCTCAAGCGGACGCCCCAGTTTGAAAACGAAGCGCTCCGCATCCCTTCGAAAAACGGACCACCGTCCACCCTCCTGGGTACTGGATGTGTTCTTTCTGCCACGAATGTGCGCGGCATTAGGGCGAGGGCCACACTTCGAAAGCGGGCAGCGCCCCTCCTATCAAGGAGCCCAAGGACACAAATAAATACACACGAATAACGAGATGTCCGATATTTTCCCATATTGTCTGGGTTTCTGTCTTCCCCCCCACTGCCCATATTTTCCCATATTTTCTGGGGAATCGACGATCAGTTGTCTCTGTGTGTTTCTTCCCCTCCTGACTGTTGCGCGATCACCATTTTGAAGAGGAGCCACCAGGCATCGGCCGAGGCCGACGCGCACACGGCCCGCCCCACACTGAGACGCCTGGTGGTGCGACAGGGAGGCGGCGGCATCTGCAAGTAAGGGGGGTACGGTGGGGGCGCGTACCAAGAAACCACTTGGATTTTGCCAGGGTGCCCTGTGTTTCTTGGATTTCGATGGGCCCCCAATAAGATCTTTACGATTGTCGATCGACAAATTTGGGTTTTCACTGAACAAATCGCGGATTTCAGGGGTGGGTTTCTTGCGGAGGCTTCTTGTGGCCGAGCCCCCTCTGTAGAGGAGGAGGAGCAGCAGCAGCGGTGTTTGTAGGGGAACGAACACTGACATAAACATAAAAAATCGGGAGTCCGCGCAGGTTTCTCGGATCGGCGCTGGAGCCCCCTGGCGGCGCCTCCGGCTCCGCACGTCAGGGAGGGGGGTCCAGCGCCGATCCGAGAAATCCGCGCGGACCTCCGAGTTTTTCTGTTTGTGTCATTGTTTGTTGCCCTACGTGTCAGCCGTGGGTGGACCCGTGGGTTGGCCCCGACTCCACTACCCCGTCCTCCCCCCCTCCTGCTCACACCTTTCCACTCCTTCTCCCAGCCCTCTCTCCGCTCCATCCCTCCTCCTGCTCCCCGCATCCCCCCTCTCCCCCTCCCTCCCTCCCTCCCTCCCGCCCTCTTGAAACCTGCGCAGACCGTCCGAACACCTCCGACGGGCTCCAGAACCCCCCAGAAAGCCCTAGGACCCAGGCGTCCGACGACGTGCGTTTTCGGTCCTGACCGATCCTTTGACTCGGGGGCGGCCAAGAGGGGGGCGTCCAAAAGAGGGGGGGTGCAAATCATAACCGGCGGCATGTGCGCGGCCCAGGGGGGGGCCGGGGCGTAATGAAATAAGAAGAGGCGCCATGAAATCTGGGGAGATATCATGCCCCCCTCCATGATATCCACCCCCCCCAGTCATCACCCCCCTCTTTGCCGCCCCCGAAGAAAGTCACCATCCCCCTCTTTGCCGCACCGAGGGGAGGAGGAGGAGGAGGAGGAGGAGGAGGAGGAGGAGGAGGAAGAGGAGGAGGAATAGGAGGAGGAGGAGGAGGAGGAGGAAGCGCGCGCGATCCTCTGACGGCCCTGGAGCCCGGTCCAGGGGCCCTGGAGGCCGAGGCGTGCCGGCAGAAGACCTGCCGTCTTGTGCCCCCTGCGCGGGCCGAGTGCCGCCGCGGGGCCGACGGGCTGGGGCCACGCGCACAGGAAGGGACCCTGGGACACGCAAATTCGCCGGCCCAACGGGCCAGAGGCGTGCTAAGATCTCTGGTAACTGGTTAACAGTATTTCTAGTTCGCGCGCGCGGAGCGGCCCCTGGGGGCCCCCGGACGAACAGTACCCCGGCAAGGTCCCGGGAGAAGCCACCAGAGCACTCCAGGGGAGGGCCATTTGTCGACAACCCTCACGAAGATCGTGGCCTCCGAGGGGGGAGCCGCAATCGACTACCCCCCCCCGCCCCAAGAGCCCCCCAAGAGGCCCTGGGGGCCCCCAAGACGCCGCCAAGGAGCCCCAAGAGACTCCCAAGAGGTCCCCAAGAGGCCCCCAAGAGACCCTAAAGAGGGCTCCAGGGCCGGCGGCATGAGCGAAGCGATTAAATAAATAGACACAACTAACAGGATTCCCCATACTTTCCCATGCTTTCTGGGTTTTCGTCTTCCCCCCCACTGCCCATATTTTCCCATACTCTCTGGGAATCGACGATTCATTGTGCCTGTGTGTGTGTTTCCCTCCTGAGCATATACGGTACAGTCAGGCTCGATTGGACAGGACACGCGAGAGGACACAGGACCCTTCCGAGGGCCACACTGCCGCAGGAATGTAGGAAGCATGGGTCGCGAGACGCAGGACACCAAGGGTGCCCTCGATCTGGCAGGGTCGACCTGCCAATCTGGGCCGACCGTACGCTGTGCGGGCCGTCGCCCGATTCAGAGTGTGCACGTTTGATCGAAAGTCTCACGGCCGTGAACCTACCCGCAGACTGACTACCTATCAGACCACCCCAACCCAACCCGAAGACCCGAATTTGATCCGAATTTCGGGTTGGGGGGGGTACGGGTTCCATGTGTTTTTTCAACGTTCCCCGACCCCCCCCCACCGGAAATGGAGGGCAAATTGAGGCCTTCGGGTTGGGTTGGGGTGGTTTGGTGAGTGGTGACAGACTGCCCACCATTAGAGGAGCAGACCCTGGCATAGAAGGAGAACCTCTCGGAGGCCCGCGCGGATTTCGTGGCTCGGAGCTGGATCCCCCTCCCTGACGCGCGGAGCGCGCCATGGGCCCAGCGCCGATCTAAGAAATCCGCGCGGACCTCCGAGAAGTTCATGTTTACAACGCTATTCCCGAATTGCGTTTCGCTAAGAGGGTTCTGATAGTGGTCAAAAACCTACCGAAGAGCCCCAACGGAGGAACTGGGCCAGTCTGGCGCCGTTTCGCCTGAGCCCTCGGCCCAATGCAGGCTATATGTTTGGTCCAGACGGGAACGCGCTGGCTGCTACTAATGTGCTTTGCTGGGGACGTTCCGCAATCCGGACTTGCTCTGAAGCGGTCCTCGCGGATATTGAAGGATCTGGCGAAAGCCCTGGGCCGAATTCGTCAGGCGGTCGACTTCCCGGGTTTCAGGTCTCAGGTTCCCAGGCTCCCGGTTCTGGGTTCGGGGCCGACTTCGCTGGGCGGTCGAGTTCCCAATTGTTCCTGGTTCCTGGCTCTGGGGCTCCCGGCAGGTCTGCGGGGCTTTCGGGCTCCCGGTTCCAAAAAATTCTCGGCAGGGCTGGGTTCCCGGGATTCCCAATTCGGTGGGCGGCGCTGGATGCCGGGGCCCCGAGCTGCCTGGCTCCAGGGGTCCCGGCAGTCGCGGGGCTGGTGGGCTTCGGGCTCCTCGGGTCCCGTTTCCTGGGTTTCTGGCAGTGTCGGGGTGCTGGGGTTCTGGATGCCTTGGCGTGGGCCAAGCGCCTGGGTCTTTGATCGTAAAACGGTACGGGGGGCCGAGAGACAGAGAGGTTGGAGGGACAGAGAGAGAGAGATAGTATTTGCAACCACTCTTAGATATCAGATTGCAAGTAGACGGGAAGTCAGGGTGAGAGGGTGCATAGTCGAAGTACATATCAGAGAGCATAGGGCTAAGTTGGGCAGGGAAAAAGAAGAACAGAAAGAGGCATGGAGAGGGAGATAACGATCAAAAGAAAGAGAGACAGGGAGAACAAAGAGAGGGAGGGAGAGACAGAGACACACACACACACACGACGAAGGCATATCGGGCAACAGGGACTACGGAGAAAAACGAGAGAGAAAGGGAGGGAGGGAGGGAGAGAGAGAGAGAGAGAGAGAAAAAAAAAAAAAAAAAGAGAAGGAAGGCGTGGAGGGCGTGCGGAAGTTCCTGGAGACCCACCGACGGGGCCTCCTTCATCTGGCGCAGTGTCTGACCATCATGGTTGCTTCGGCCGTCGCTGTAGAATTAAGTCGGGCATATCCCACTGCAGGGGGATTTTGTGCCGAAAAATGAAGAAAAATAGTTCTAACAAATACCCTGAAAATATTCAAAAAATTGTCAAAAATAGTCCCATACTATTTTCTGACTATTTTTGAACATTCCCCCTATAGGGGGACAGGCCCGACTTCACTGTAGAATTACTATTCGATGTGCTGTGCGCGGTGGCGGTGGCGAACATACAGTGGAGGCCAGTCCACAAGAAGCCTTCCGCGAGAAACCCAACCCTGAAGCCCCAGGACGTCCATTGATTCTTGGTGTGGGAACGTCACGCTTTCCATCGCAAGACCATCGAAACGAAAGAAACCCAGGGCACCATGGAGGCAAGCAGGGTGTTTCTTGGCATGAGCCCCCACTGGAAGGGGGGGGGGGGACCTACATGGGGGGCAAAAAAAAGGGCCTAGAAGGGGGCCCTGCTGGCTCCACAAAGAGGAGCCCAAAGGGCCCCTGCGGGGTCCTCCTCTTCACCCCCCTCTTGGCATGGGCCCCCGACTGTAATGCCAAGGCCACGCTCCTGTTTCCGACATGTCGCCGCCAGCGCCGACTGCCAGTGCCCCGCCTTGGCGGCCCGGCTCTCCACGCCCTGCTGCGTGCGCAGGGTGCCCGGCCCGCCGCCGAGTGCGAAGCACTGGGCGCGCCCGCCGGGCGGCCGCGTCCCGTCGAGCGTCGCCGTCGCCCTCGTCCTCCGTCTCGCTCTCCTCCTCCTCCTCCTCCTCCTCCTCCTCCTCCTCCTCCTCCTCCTCCTCCTCCTCCTCCTCCTCCTCCTCCTCCTCCTCCTCCTCCTCACCCTCCTCCCTTGCTCCTCCTCTTCCTCCTCCTCCTCCTCCTCCTCCTCCTCCTCCTCCTCCTCTGCCTCCTCCTCATCCTCCGCCTCCGCCTCCGCCTCCTTCCTCCTCCTCCTCCTCCTCCTCCTCCGCCTCCTCCTCCTCTTCCTCGCCCGCCGTCGTCGTCGGCCCTCGCCGAGACGCGGAGGGCAACGGGGAGGGGTAGAGGGAGGGGAGAGGGAAGCGAGCGGAAGAGGAAGAGTGAGGAGGAGGATGGGAGGGATAAGGGTAGGGGTAGGGGTAGGGGTAGGGGTAGGGGGAGGGGGAGGGGGAGGGGGAAGGGGGGGCGGGAGGAGGAGAGGATCGGCAAGGCACGACAGAAGAGTCAAGCCCGCTCTGCTGGGTGAGCGCCAAGCCCAGTTGGGCTCGACGGTCGACGGGCGGGAGGAGGAGGAGGGCGACGACGACGACGAAGAGGAGGAGGACAAGGAGGAAGAAGGGGAGTATAACGAGGAAGAGGGCAAGGACCAGAAGGAGGAGGAAGAGGAGGAGGAGGAATGTGGGGAGGAGAGGGAAGGGGAAGAAGGAGAGGAGTGGGAGAAGGGGCGACGAACAGGAAGAGGTGCAGGAGGAGGAGGAGGGGGAGAACGGGCAGGAGAGACGCAGGATGAGAAGGAATGAGACCCGGAAGGGGTGCGGGGGCAGGAGGAGGAAGAGGAGAAAGAGCGATGGGAGAAAGAGGAGGAGAAGAAGCAGGAGTCGGAACAAACAGACCAACGGGAGCAACCGCAACGGAAGAACAAGCAGGAGGAGCTGACTGAGGGGCGGCAGTGGGAGTCAGCCAGAGGCAGCCCCGTCGTTCGTCTTCGAGGTGAACAAAATACTTGGTCGGGCTAAGCGCAGGATAGAACTGGGCAGACAAAAAGGGTGTGGTGATAATAATCATAATAATGGTAGTATCAATCATAATCATAATAATAATGATGCTAATACTAATAACCATCACCATCGTCATAGTACAGATAAAACTCGAAAATAATAACGAATAACAGAAATAATGATATCAATGAATTTATTATGAAGAAAATCAGATAACAACAAAATGGGAATATAATAATAATAATCGCCGTCATCATCATCAGCAGCACCATCATCATCAGCATCATCATCATCATCATCATCATCATCATCATCATCATCATCATCATCATCATCATCTGCATCCGCATCAGCATCAGCATCATCATCAGCAGCAGCAGCAGCATCAGCATCATCCTCCTCCTCCTCCTCCTCCTCCTCCTCCTCCTCCTCATCATCATCATCATCATCATCATCATCATCATCATCATCATCGTCATCCTCATCAGCATCATCATAATCATCATCAGCATCGTCATCATCAGCAGCAGCATCAGCATCATCATCTTCATCATCATCAGCAGCATCAGCATCATCATAATCATCATCATCTGCAGAATCATCATCAGCATCAGAATCGTCATCATCATCAGCATCAGCATCAGCATCATCATCATCATCATCATCATCATCATCATCATAATCATCATCATCATCATCATCATCATCATCATCATCATCATCATCATCATCATCATCATCATCATCATAATCATCATCATTACCATCATAAACACAATAATGTTCATAATCATAATCATCATCACGAGAATAATAAGAATGACGATGATGCTGATGATCATGGCCATGATGATGATGCTGATGATTATGATTATGAGTTTGATGAATGGTGATTGTAAACAGGATGATGATCATAACGTTAATGATAATGATAATGCCGATGATAATGGTAATGGTAATGATGCTAAGAATGATGATGATGGTGGTGATGATGATAATGATGATGCTAATGGAGGTGATGACAGTGATGATGACGCAAAGAATTAGAACAACAATAATGATAATAACAATGATGATGGTAATGATGATGATGGTGGTGATAATGGTGATGGTGATGGTATGGTAATGGTAATGGTCATGGTAATGGTAATGGTAATGGTAACGGTAATAGTGATAGGGTGTGTTCTGATGATGAGGCATCGACAGGTAAATTGAGCACTGCGGAGGATACATGACAATGACGATGATTGTGATGCCGATGACCACGGTGATGCCAATGACGATGACGATGGCTTGGATGGCCATGAAGGAGGATGGGGATGATGAGGGACGTGCGGAGGGGAGGAAAAAGATGATGCGGAGGAGGAGGTAACAGCAGGCAATGAGGTGGGGAAGAGGAATAGTGATGGGCGAGAAGGAGGAAGAGGATGAGCAAGAGGAGTAGTATCAGAGGGAGGCGGATGAGGTGGGATAAAGGAGACTCGGATGCGGAGGACGAGGAGGATAAGGGAGGAGGACATGATCATCGTGATGAAAATGGCGGTGCTGGTGATGAAGAGGAATGGTAATCCGGAGTGCGGTGTTTGATGAAGTGAATGGGATAGTGAGGATATGGTGGCAAACTCACGAGTCGTCATCATCATCACCATCATCATCACCATCATCATCACCATCACCATCACCACCATCATCATCAGCAGCATCAGCAGCATCATCACCATCAACACCATCACCACAACCACCACCACCATCATAATCATCATCATCAGCAGCAGCATCATCAATC